AACTAGAGGGTGTTATTCTGTTGGGGAATTAGAACTCATTTGAACTAAGGCCAGCCAGAATAATTGAATCAAAGATCATTGAATCATAGAATAGTTGGAAGGGACATTAAAGCTCATACAGTTCCAACCTCCTGCCACAGGCAGGGACACCTTCCACTAGAGCAGGTTGCTCCAAGCCCCGTCCAACCTGGCCTTGAACTCTGACAAGGATCAGGCAGCCACAGCTTCTGTGGGCAGTCTGTTCAGTGTCTCACCACCCTCACAGGGGTAATGAGATCTGAATAAGATCTCAATCTCCCCATCAGTTTAAAGCCATTCCCCCACATCCTGTCACTACCTGCCCTTGTAAAAAGCCCCTCTCCCGATTTCTTGTAGCCCCCATTAGGCACTGGAAGCTGCTCTAAGCTCAGAGTCTTCTCTTCTCCAGGCTGAACAGCCCCAGCTCTCTCAGCCTGTCTCCAAAGCCGAGCTGTCCTGAGCATCTTCCTGGACTCCTCTGGACTCGTTCCAATAGCTCCACATCCCTCTTGAGGGCATCAGAGCTGAATGCAGCACTGCAGGTGGAGTCTCACAAGAGCAGAGCAGAGCGGCAGAATCATCTCCCATGACCTGCTGGCCACATTCCTTTTGATGCAGCCCAGCATATGGTTGGCTTTCTGGGCCACAAGTGCACAATGGCAGCTCTGGTCCAGTTTTTAATCCACCAATATTCTCAAGTCCTTTTCAGAGCTTCTCTCAATCCATTCATCCTCCAGGCTGTACCGATATTGGGGACTAAACCCATGTGCAGGTCTGTCTTCGCATTTGGATTTTAATTCTCCTGCACACCTGGTTTCTAAAGCAGAAAAATGTTAATTTTCCACCACCAATGAAAAATAAGAAATACACAAGTAGCATTCTTAAGTATAAAATCATAAGCACATGATAGTCAATGAATATCTGTTTCATCTTTGTATTTTCTCTTATTTATGCTGATTTTTCATCTATAATCTTTATGCAACAGCCTTTTGAGTCTGACATGTTATATGTAATCTTCTCATTCTCCATGTTCTATTTTTGTCCACCACTTCTATCTGTTCTATCCCTACTAATATAACACACAATTGCAAATGAGTGTATACTCGGCAACACTTTTCATTGTGCTTGCTTACCTACATATTAATCACTTGGTTACAAAGCAGATCTTTAAAGAAGATCTCCAAGTCAACTTTTGTTAATATTGACCATTTGTAGTGTTTCCTTCATTTTCCCCAGCTTTAATGGGCTTTCACAATCTTCCCAACATTTCCTCATCTCCAAACTCTGAAAAGCCGATTTCAATATCATTCTCATGTTTTGGGTAGGAAAAAAAGGTCAGGGTATCATAGGCCTCACCTGACAAAGCACAGATGCTCTCTAGGTCACAGACAGAAGCATTATCAGCTATATGCCTGCATTAATGAGATCACACAGCATCAGGATTATAGGGCCCAGCCCTGCACTCTGCCACTTTCAGCATTCCTGTGACCTCAGACGGGGACACAATTCAAAACCCAAACTTGGCCTACAGTCCTGAAGCAGTATAAGGCATTGTCTGCAGTTTCTTAACCTGTGAAAGCCCAGTGCCAAACCTAAAAGGAAAAATTCAGCCACCTGAAATTGAACTTAGACAGATGTAGGCACCAAAACTCTCCAAACCAAAATACCTTTGAGAGAAAGCTGCCCAACCCTACTGAATATAAGGTCACAAAACGCCTCTTGGGTTTTCATGCCAAATGTCCACAAGTGCTTTCAGTGTTATAAAAACATGAAAGTGTCCTGGTCTGTGCAACAAGCCAGTCTGGTTTTGGACCAGGTGATAAACTGAGTGCAGAAGCACCCCACTGCCCCACAAAGCCAAGTTTTGCAAGTATACACAACACTACCAGATGATCACAGCATAAAGACAGGCGAGGCGCACGAGGTGGCTGTTTAGTAGGAATACACATCGGGCAGGAATCATTGTTAGCCTTTTAGTTATTACACCAAGGAAAAAAGGAAAAAGAAGTACAAGTTGCACTGCTTTTGCCACCTGGGGAGACTATAGCTTCTGACTTCCTAGAAGTGTTGCGTTCATCTACTGTCAGGGACTGGTCTAAAGTAAAGTGAGTAAGGAAAGGAAGCCTTCCTGCTGAAGTGGAACTACGTGACAGAAAAGATGGAAAATTAATGGAATCAGAAAGGTCTTATACAAGGCTGTACCACAGAGAAGGTCTCAACCGAAACTTGGTCTCTCCAGGCAGCATGAATAAACCTCTTGTGCTAAAGGGTGCAAAGGTAACCTAGTATGTACTACGGAGCTCTAAGCCATTCTCCTGGGTACAGTATTGGTTTTGCTTGCTCTTCTGAAGTGCCAATTCTGACCAGAGGTATTTGGGTATTTAACTGCAGTGCTGAGACTTTTACTGGACTGTTCCACTCGTTATTCTGACAGCTCATGAGCAAAAATACTGGACTGCAAGAAAGCAAACTGGAAAACAGCATTAGCAGGTGTCTAGAAACAATGCACCATCAGGTGAAGCAAATCAACTTATGAAAACAAATTCCACAGAAAGCTTTGCAAAAACATCAGGTGAAGCTTTTCCTTTGGTAGGTCAGTTGCAGTAGGAAGCAACAATGCACCGTGTTCCTTGTGTCTCTGCTAAAGGACACTGCTAACTGCTGGCTAGCAACACTCTGTGACTGAGAACCCCATTCTCCCTCACACTGAGAAGGTTCAGAAGCAGCAGCAAAACAGGAGCAGAGGCAACAGCAAAATGTGCTCAATGACCAGCCGTAATTCACCCTGTCCCCTCTCCTTGCAACCGCTTTTGGAAAAGCGCTCCATCTAAGTGAAGATCAGAGTAGCAAAGCCTGGAATAAGAACTGCTTCACGTACCTTGCTCCCTGTTCAGGAAAGCAAAAGGTCTAACCCAAGGGCCTGGCCCAGAGCCCAGCTTTCCCTGACAGCTCCCAGAGTCCAGCGCTTGAGCTGAATCTGCATCCTCCTGCGGCTTCCTGGAGAGCTGTTATTTACGAGGAGGGAGCAGAGCAAGAAAAGCCTAGGAAGATACTGTGTTCTGTAGGTTTTCTGAGGCCCTTATCAATGTACATTTTTCCTTTCCACAGCAAGCACAGGTATGGTCAGAGTTACATACTAGTTATGAAAATTAGCTTTATAGGTAATGCAGCAATAGTGCTGGTTTGTAAAAGCCATTAGGAGGAGTATCAGGAGCAGTATCATGGGATCATGTCAAGTATGTGTTCCTCCCTATACTGATGATTAACCTGTGCACAGTAAAAATATTTTAATAAGCTGAGAAGTGACTTAATTCCTCAATATTTATTTTATATACATGGATTGTAAGAGGGGGGGAAATGTTTGCCTGAAGGTTAATGATTGTTTCATGATTTACGATAAGGCTATAAATCTCTATGCAAAGAGGAGATCAAAGGGAATCACATCCCATTATGAATCCTGAGGCAACCTGAAGCCTTCACTTTTCAGATCTTTTCTCTGAACAAGGCAAAAATTTGAGCTTGAAATGGAAAAAAGATAAAGCAGGCTCCAGTGACTGAATCATCACCATCCGCTCCAGAGCAGAGTTACTATGGCAATGGCAGTGCTACTGCACAGCTTTTCCTTACTCATTCTACAGGTATGACAGCAAACATATGTGGGATATGTCCACCTCATACATGTGGCTCACAGGAGAGGCCCGTGGGTTCCAGTGCCCAGTTCCTGCAGAGAGGAAGAGCAAATTCCTGTTAATTAAAGTATGTGATTTTCAGTTTTCCATGGAAACAGTCTTGGGGCAGGACCCAGGATTCTTCCTGCTGTTCTGTGCCTCAGGAAGGTGTATTCCAGTGCTTAGAGGGTGTCTTACGAGCACAGAGAATCTTTAATGCAGGGATTCTATGCTATTTTTTTTTTTAGCTGCAACTACCTCACTTCTCTGAATTATAGATGTCTTGACACCACCAGGGAGGATGGTATCATCTTTTTGGCAGAGCATAGCTTGGAGCTCTACATAAGTAATGGACCTAGTCCTGATGCCAGCTTAATAAATTAGTAATTATATCTCTTTGTATATGCAACAATCAGTGTGTCAGTACTCACCAGTGTCCTCTTTCTTCTTCGAGGACCAGATGAATGCATCACCTTTCCTATTACTGATGGTATGTTCTCTGTACTGGACATAAAGGACACATTTGCTCTTAATTATTTGTGAGACAGTATTTAATATTTACTCTCTAATAGCAAACAGAAGTTCCCCACAGGAATTGGGGCCCTTTGTAGGAAGCATACATGCAAAGGAAACCTTTGCCCAAAAAATACAGTTTCTGCAAGCTCATTAAGTCCTACAAGCAGACATTTATGTGGAACCCCAAACGAGCTTCACACTGAGAATTTCTTCATTGTTTTTGTGGAAAATAAGTCCTTTTCACCCATTGTGTGAATGTGCACACAGCTCAGATCGCAGCCCTGATAATAAATGCATCCCTTTTAAGTACAGCCACTCTGGGGAGCAGATGAAGAAGGTTAACACATGTGCATTAATCAATAGGAGGGTCAACAACAATTATCACAGTGAGAGGTAAGAGATGCTACAACAATAAAACACACTATGCCATGCACTGAGAAGCAAGTACAGTTTTACATCTCTGCATTTTCCATCAAAAGTTGGTGTTGAATAATGAGCAGAGAACATCTGACACATTTTGCTACTTACACAGCTATGCATCCATCATATTTGTACCAGTAACATCTACCCCGTTATGTGTTTGCTTCATGCCTGAACCTGAAGCCTCCATCACAGCACTTCCCTATGAATATGTTCATGCTCCCCACGGCCTCCTGCACCCAGGGCAGCGTTCCCCCCCCCCCCCGGCTCTGCCCGCTCTGGGAGGCTCCGAAGCGATGCTGCTGCCCACCGGGATACCCGCGGCCCCGCTCCCGCACCTCGGGGCGGGCGGCAGCGGCGGCACCACGTGTCGGGGCGGGGAGCGGTGGGGCCGGGCCGGGCTCGGCTCCACCACCCGCTAACGACGCAGCGGCAGCGGCCCCGGCTGAGCGCATCCTTTCTCGCCCATGCCAGGTGCCCTTTCCTGGCTGCGACGTGACTGAGGAGCGATGGGGCCTCTGCGGGAGAGCAGCAAGGTGAGGAGACGGGGATGGCTGCGGGGACCGGGAGGCTGTGGGGACGGACGAGCGGCAGGGGCAGGCAAACCCCTGCCCCCTCCCCCCCCGCTCTTCCGGAGCCTGCCTGGATGGTGGAAGGAGGAGGGTGCATCCCAGAGTGTCCCTTCCTAAGCAGGAGCAGAAGACGCAGCTGGAGAAGGAGGTGTCCCGCAGCCGCATCCCCCGCCTGGTCCTCCGCCCGCAGCAGAAGACATCCCCCGCTTCCGAGTCGCCCTTTTCGGAAGAGGAAAGCCGGGAATTCAACCCGCCCAGTTCCTCCGGGGGTTCCCGCAGGACCGTCAGCAGCAACAGCTTCTGCTCAGGTACCGCAGAGGGATCCTCCCCTACTCTCCCGGCCTCAGTGCTCACCCAGCACCCTGGTCCCTGTGAGCTGCTGTCACCCCTGGATGCAGCATCTGTGTGTCAGGCTCGTACTGAGCCCTGATGAGCATCCTGCTTTGCAGATGAAGAAGGGCAACCATTCCAGTATCTGTTCTTTTAATACATGCCCATAAGCGACACCAGGTGTTTCCATTTCGAGTTCTGCTATCTACTGCTAAAAAGTTGGCAGTTTTACTGCAGCAAAATAGTTGCTTTAAAGAGAAAGATTTGCCTTAAAAACTGCAGCATGGAGTTGAGGCATCTGAAAAGCCCCTGAGTCAGTGTGTAAAACAGGGGAGTTGCTACTACAGTATCAGATATAGGTCAACTACTGCAATTCCTTTTTGTTTTGTGATAGTGATTGTGCATGAATCGGAACTAAATATGTAGTTGAAGTTTTCATTGTCAAAGTGAATTGAGTTTTATTAATTTGAGCATTCAGGCTTCTCCGGGCAAGCCTGTCACCAGAGCTGGGCATGTCTTCTCTACAGAGAGGGCAATGTCTGGGTGATGTATCAGAAGTAAATTACTATTTTCCAATTGTAGACCACAAAAGTGTCATTTGCTCTTCAATGTAAGTATAACCCTTTACGTCAGGGACAGCTTGAAACCAAATATTTTATGTTACATATTTGTCCTGTGTAGAGTTCAGCGCAATTCGAATGCCTCGACTAGCAGTGAATGACTCAGATTCCTACTAGTGGTGAGCAGTCTTTTAACTGTTCACCATGTAGGACATTATGCATGTGGATAACAGCATGGAAGGTCACAGCATAAGCACCTTGGGTTCGATATGTGTGTGGTAACTTTAAGCATATTTTGGAGACTAAACATTTTGTTTTAATAGGTTTTTTTTTTTTGAGAGCCTAATATTCTCAGTCTAACTAAAAATCTGAATCAAAAATATGAAGTATTTTTGTAATAGTTAATATCAGAGCAAGTTCCTAAACTTCCTTTTTGCTTATTCATAAGGTATTTCAGGTACCAAAGGCTTTCCTGAGAACAGCCATAAACACTCATATTTATCTTTGTCTCCACTACAGTGGATCAGATTATTGGTTTCAATTCCTTTAATGAAAAGCAGTGTATTTAACACTATGTACAAGAACAGTCAGTTTTCCTAGATGAGAAACACACTATCCGTGTTAGAGTCTAGCTTGGGCAGATTTTGCAATTCAGGCTCAGTGGAATGATCTATTTGGTTATTGTTTAATGAACAATACAAAATGTTAAGCAAACAACACAGTACTGTAGGACCAGTGAAGTCTTTTTCCCATGCCTTTGGAATCCCTCCACCTTACCTTGTGTGAGTTTGCTGTTACAAAGAAGTAAAATATTTTGAAGCTTTCTAGAAATACATTTTTTTTTTAATGATCTCTACCAAATGGCTGCTTATCCTGACTTTCTTCCCCTGTGTGTTGACAAGCCTTTCATCCTGGTTACTGACGTTCGTTTTCATATCTTTTGGGTCTGCATTGTGTTCTTCAGATCTCTCTTCAGCACAGAGCTGCCCAGGGTTACCCTTGCTGTCCCACTGCACCATGTGTGTTGTCTGGAGGCCCAGCAGAGCTTTTTATTTGCTCTGGGTGTGGCTGATCTCATGACTGGACAGTTTTAAGGCACCTTTCACAGAGGTTTCAGGAGTGCAGTGCTATTGCAAATGCTCCTGTTTATATTTCCTGTATTCATCTTCTATTTTTCCATGAATACTGCTTTGATTTTCTTTCCCATGCTGAGTGCTCTGCTGCCTGCAGCACCCATACTACCCTGTTTGACTGCTGAGTCTTCAAACCTTTCACAGCCAAGGATCAACCAAGGCCCTGTGCTCCGTCCTAGTACATGGGGTCTTGTTGATCAATCGGTTTGATGCATTTTTTACTGTAGTGTAGGTATGATGACAAAAGTCATTGACTTGATCTCCTCTGTCTCTAGTGTCTCTTCCCTATCTTCCTTATGAAAATCCTTCTTTATCATAATATGTATAATTCAGATAGATTGAAATTCCCAGCGGCAGCAGGTGGCTGCTCGTTCCTGTTTCTGGGGAGGGGATGGCAAAGAGCTGCCTGGGGAGGGGAGTGAAGCAGCCTCTCACCTGCCTTTCCTGGTGCTTCATCTTAATGGAGAAGTGGCATGTGCAGAAAGTATATTTAAAATTAGCAAGTAATACATTTGGAAGAGGGGAGCAGATGGATAATATGAATGACAGTGTGATGGCAGTATGAAAAAGCTCATGAGCATTTGGATAAATCTCTTTTTTATAAGTTCTTTGGAGCATTAAACTTCAAAAGGTTCTTGATAAGACTGTATGACTTGACACCTAGAATAATTGCTTTCCTCTTTACCCTTCCCTTAACAAGTTGCTCTCTGCCTTTCTTCCCTTATCATTGACACTAAATGGTTATGAACAGTAGATTTCTTTTTCCCCTCCTCCATTTAAACATGTATTTCCTGCTTGATTCCCTAGGGCTTATGAGGTTGTCTGTTTGCCCTGTGTGCTTACATTGGTCACAACACGTAAGTGAATGCTTGGATTTCTTTTTCTGTGAGAGCAGCAGGGCCTTCTAGGTGTCATTAATGTTGGTTTAGGTGGAGGGAGCCTTTGGTAACTGTGGCAGAGCAAAAATACCACTTGGCAACAGACAAGAGACACTTGGGTTTAGTTCTTAGTTTCTTTTGAAGAAGTTAGTTCTGGCTGAAGTAATTCATGTAATCAGCTCCTTTTGTCTTGGGTGACTGGGTCGGAGGCTCACTTGACCCTGTCAGTCAGTTATTTGCAACTGACTGTGTCAGTTTTGCTCTGTAAGTCTGTATGAAACATGAGGCTGTTAATCTTACCTGATATTCTTGACAAAACATGTTTTTAATATCCTTTTTTTCTGCCAAGTGAACACGGATGCTCTCTGGATGTTGTGTAGGCAAGCTGAGCCTTTGTATCAGTATTCACTGTTCACAATCTTTCCATAAAATCCTAGTGCATCTGGGGTCCTGTTTGTCATTTGATATGGGAGCACTTCTCTTCCTGCAGCCACTGCCCTCCTTTGGCTTGGATGTCAGCCACAGAGCTTGTGTGATGTCAAACCATGAACAAACGCTCTCAGCAGCTTCTGGCGCGGCTGCTACCAAGCACTTGCCGTGTCACGCGTGTTTTGCTCATCAGCTGCACTTGGCTCTGAGCGGCTCTGTGCACTTACTTACCTTCACAGCTGGGTGGAGAGCACAATTTAAGCATCGAGAACAAACCATCCACTTGTGGGCCCGTGGCGGAGCGGCTGCTGGGCTGCCTTTGGTAAGTCCAGCTGCAGTATTTGACTCATAAGAAATAAGATACTTAGGGCAGGGCATTATCCTTGATTTCTGTGTACACGTCCTTTTGATACCAAGCCAGCTGTGTACTGGATCAGAGGCAGCCTGGACATGCCAAGCTCAGGAACAGCCCGTTTAGCTTTTCATTGTAAAAGGAAGTTTGGGATCTGCTTTTTTCCTAGTTTCTGCTGCTGAATAGTTCAGCTTTTAAATTTCTCCTTATGAAGACTTGTTACAAGCTACCTTCATAACGATGCCCAGGCTTTCCTCCAGCTTTTCTTCAGAAGCCAGGTGCCTGAATTTCTGCAGGTAATGCAGCAGTGCTTTGTTAACTGAGATGCAGCTTTGCAGGAAGCAGCTTTGCTTTGCTTGTGAGCAAGGAAACCTGTTTTATACTCACAGCAAACAGTTCCTCTTGGGCTTACCTGCAAACCACCTCTTTAACTGGACTGCATAGTACTACAGGCTATTGAAAACCAGTAGTGTCTGTGCACATGGATGATTGAGACTTAGTACAGCAGTTTTCCAAAATAGAAGTTGAAGGTTCCATTTTGCTTTTCCTTTCAAATTTTGAGATCTGGGTTCAGTGCTTATTTCATATCTTGTTCTTTTCTGGTGCAATGACTTTTTGAAAACTTTGTTCTGGGTGGCATGGTAACTATGCTCCTGTACCGAGGCTGCACTGTAAGCCCTGGGGTGCAGGCACTGCAGCAGGAAACTCAGCGTTACCATTCCCTGCTCCTGTGCACCTTGAACTCAAGAGATTATTTGCCAGTTGACCCAGCTGGTGATGGATGCTGGGGCTGAGTTCACACCACCTATGTCAAAAAAAGCATGTAGGCTTTTGGCAGGTTTACTGAAGTCCATGTGAATGCATGACTCATGTTTGTAGTCACAGAAGAAGAGAAGGGTTGTATGGGTGTTAGTGGACAAAAAAATGTATATTCTGGAACTGCGGTAAAGCAGTTTGTTAAAGCATTGAAGCAGCTTGCACTGTAACCATGAAGCCTTGGAGGCTACACTATTAAAGTGTGTGTAGTTAAAAATGTATTTCTGAATAGAAAAACAGAGGAGAACAAATGTTCAGTATTTTATCAAATCAACAGAATGAGGCCAGAGAGTTAGTATAGATTACTGAAAATACTCTTCTTACTTGTGTGTATTTATAGGTATGTATAAAGTATGTATTATTATACAGAAATCATGGGCTCTCCCATTCTTGTTGCTTGTTATAAGAACAAATATTTCATTTAAATAGTTCCTTTCTGGTTTATTTGTTGCTCTTTTTCAGTCTGAGTTACTGAAGTCAGAGATAGGCTTAAAAGTGCTCAGGTATGTGATACGGAAAGTTACATTCTCTTTCCCGCAGTCCTTTATGCTGTGCCTTTACAGGGTATTTTTGCCATTATTTGAAAGGTACGAAGTGGAGGTGTTCTCCAGCGCATTTGTTTGCAACACTCTCTTTAATGCAGCTCAGGATCACTATGATACTAGTTTACAAATGCGTTGAAACAAAATCTGCTTGAACAAGTGTACGGATGGCCTTTGCATATGGGCCACACTGTGACATGCTTCCTTTTCTCACTGCTGCTTTCCTGGAGAATTTCCTTCTGTGCTGGCTTAAGTGCAATAATCTATT